CTATTCTTTATTTCTACAGTAATGGCTTTTAGCTCGACACAGGGCTACTTAGACTGTATTCAGAGCCTCCTTTTGAACTAGCTGTAGTCAGTGACTGAGCTTAATATTCTCTTTTCTTTGTTTGCTCTTTCCCATAGACTAGAATACAGAGGGGAACTGAGGAAGCTTTGAACACAAAGAAAGGATATTTCCCTACATGATAGACAAAAATATGGACAGAATATGGGCCTCCTGGATGAATTCATGAGGTAGAGCTATATCTATCTGCCCTTGGCCACTTGTCCCTGTCATCTGTGTTTCACAATTTTTTGACATATCATCTTAGACTATGACCTATTAACATACTCCTTCTTAAAAGTAAATGACAAGATTATTTGGTTATATGTCAATATTAGCATTATTTTCATGGTGAATATAGCTGGTTCTAAGAACTTAGAACCTCAGTGTCCAGTTTCAAATGGGATACAAGTACAATAAACTGTGAGCAGTAAATATCAAGCTTTTTCTTTAAAAGCTTGGAGCTAAAAAGGCCAGTTGTAGCTGGGCATGGTGGCACATGCCTATAATCTCAGAACTCAGGAGGTTAAGGCAGAAGGATTATGATTTCAAGGCCAGTCTGAGCCTACACATTAACATATTATCTTTAAAAAGGGGAAGGGGGAGACAAAAAAGGAGCCCAAGATATGCAGGGTTGAAACACAGGGTTTAAAGCAATCAGTAAGAAAAGTCAGAAAACTGGACAAAGGTTGTGGCTGGATCAAGAGATTACAACCTGTAACTTAGCCAGGTTTGGTATTCTCCAGCCAGATGAAGGAATTACATGGGAAAAGAAAGTGAAGCCACTTAGAATGCAAATTAGCTACATGTTAATCCAAGTTTAACTGTGATAGAGAACTGTGTACTCACATGTAGGCAGCACACTGTTTGGTTAAGAGCATGAACTTTCTACCTCTTAATTGTTTGGGTTAAAAAAGCAGTCATTATCAAGTAATCAAGTGTTAGTGAAATTAATAGATGGTACTCTTGATATGATGTGAAGGGAATACTTTATTTATTTATTTATTTTTTGTCTTTTTGAGACAGGGTCTCCCTGTATCCCCAGCTGTCCTGGAACTCACTATGTAGACCAGGCTGGCCTTGAACACACAAAGATCCGCCTGCCTCTGCCTCCCAAGTGCTGGGATTAAAGGCGTGCGCCACCACACCTGGCTTTATACTTTTTTTTTTATTTTTTATTTTATGTGTGTATTTGATGTGTAGGTATGTGTGTATATAGGTGTGCATGCACATTTGTGCAAGCACGTGTGCTCAGTGTACATGGAGAGGTCAGAGGACATCTTTGGGTATCAGCCCTCCCATTCTACCTTGTTGGAGACAGGTCTTGTTGGTGTTCATTGTTGTGACCATCAGGCTAACTGGCCTGTAAGCTTCCGGGGATTCTCCTGTTTCTACCTTAGAAGCACTGAGACCACAGACATGCTTTCCACACCAGGCTTTACATGAGTTCTGGGAATTCAAACTTGGGTCCTCACACTTGTGCAGCAAGCAGATTACCCACTTGACTATCTACCCAGTCTGAAGAAATAGTACTTCATTTCTGTGGTATTCATCCCTAAACCTAAAACTTCAATCTACTCACAAGGAAAACATACAAATCCTAACTGAGTAGATACAGAACAGTGGACCAGTGCTCCCCAAACTGCCAAGGTCATCAAAACTCATAGCCAAAAGGGACAAAAGTGACATTGCAAATTATTCCAATGTGGTATCTTGGATAAGATCCTAGAACAGGAAAGGGCATTAATAAGAACTAAGGAAACTGAATGAAGTATGGATTTTAGTTTAACAATAACAACCAAAGTACCATATTGCAAGATACAAATAGCAGGAAAAGACTGGGTATGGGTATATAGGAATTTATTGTACTGTCTTTGTAATTTTTCTACAAATCTTCAACTGTTCTAAAAATAAGCTTGAGTTTTTTTAAATGCAGCTATTTATAAAACCTTGAAGGATACTTTAGGAACTTATGAACAATTAAGCACCTTGTTAGATAGAAATGTAAGCTCCTTGAGGGAGGAAACTTTGCCAACAGCAGTGCCAGGCAGGCATAAGTAATGCTGCTGTGTAGCTACTTGTTAACAGTATAGAAAGATGTATTGAGGCAACTGGGAATGCCATCTCACGCAGAATCAACTACACAGGAGCACTGCAGCTGCAATCAGCTTCTTAAACATTATACTTTAATAAATTCTATTCGTGATTTTTTCTTTTGGTATTTTACTTGCTAACCCTGAGCAATTTCCTTAGCCCTTCTCTGACTCAACTGTCTCATCTGGAAAATGAGAATTAGGTTAGATTGGTTCTGGAGAGATGGTTCAGTGGTTAAGAGCACATACTGCTCTTACAGAGGACCTGAGTTCAGTTCCAAGCATGCAAATTGAGCAGCCTGAAACCACTCACAACCTTAGCTCCATGCCCTCTTCTGGCCTTCCCCAGGTACCAGCACACATGGGTGCTTATGCATATGTGCACGCACACACACATATACACATAAATAAAAATAAGTCTTCAAAAAAGAAAAGAATTAGATTAGGTAGATAACAGTATCAACCTAACTTACAAATTTGCTGTGAAGACTAAATGAGTTAACATATTAAAGAGCTTAGGCCTGTGCCTCACAGTTAAGCACCTAGGGAACTTTAGCTAAGATTATTTTTGAATCACAATAATATGTCATGTAAAACTGACTTTAAAAGTTAAAAAATCTGAGGCTAGAGAGATGACTCAGTGGTTAAGAGAACTGGTTGCTTTTGCAGAGGTCCTGAATTCAGTTCCCAGCACCCACATGACGGCTACCAACCATCTGTAACTCCAGTTCCAGGATCTCTGACACCTTCTGCTGACCTCCATGGGCACTGCACGACACAGGTGCACTTACATATGTGCAGGAAATACAGTTATACACATAAAATAAAATTAATAAAGAAAATATTTTTAAAAGTTAAAAATCCAAAATATTAAACCAACTTTATAAATGAAATTTGAAATAATGCTTTCTCGACTTAACAGGTGTAAAAACTTAATTTTACCATGAGTAAACCAAGTGACCTGTAAAATGTTTCTAAGATGACATGGTAGCCACCATGGATGCCTTGCTGGTCACACTAAGAATTTGTCTGGAATTAAGGTCTTAGAAACTTATAGCTTGCATAAAAGGTGAAAATTCTATTAAAGTCTAAAATGCCTCATGATATGTTCTTTAAAAACCTCAAGTTTACATTTTAATACCAAAAGTGACCCCACTGAGAAAATGCAACTAGGCTATAAAGCCAAGATGGAAGTTAAGGTTATTTAAACCATTTAGAGGAATGGCAGCAAAATGGTCAGAAGTCTAATGCTCAGGCAGACATTTCTCTTGGCTAGACTATAAATGACAAAACATATTCCCTGCATATGATGCCTCTCAACTCCTGCCTTAAAATGTCCAGATCCATTGTGGGTGTCAGGATTCTGATTATGCAAAACCACTTGGCTGTCCTTCCCTTTTCCTAAAAACTCAAAGTTCAGTTTACGTTCTAAGATTTGTGTTTATGATCATTTAAAGAAGAAATCAGGAGACTGGAGAGATGGCTCAGTGGATTAAGAGCACTGGTTGTTCTTGCGGAAGACCTGGGTTCAAATCCCAGCACCCACATGGTAGCTAACAACCATCTGTAATTCCAGTTCCAGGGGATCCGACTCCTTCTTCTGTCCTCCATGGGCACTGCACAACACAGATGCACTTACACGCATGCAGGCATAACACTCATACAAATAAAATAAATATTTAAAAAGGAGAAATTAGTGACTCATATGTGTTTCCCCATTAATCTTTATATTTTAGGTATCAATAAATTTGCTCAGAAAGTTTCCTATTTCATTATTTGCAAATATATATATATATATGAATTGTTCCCAAGTTGTGCACAAGAATTCAGTGAATATTTCTGTAACTTCTTTGACATTAACAGCAATAGATTTTTATTTGTTTACAGTAGGACAACCACTTAGAGATATCTGACTACTCATTTAAACAGCTGAGGGCAAATAAACGTGTCCCTCTGACAAAGGTTAAAGACTCAGTGTCAGAAGACTGACAGCAGATGTAAAATTTAGGTATATTTAATTTAGAAGAAAATGGAGAAGTGAAAGACAATGCACATTCTAAAATCTAGAATTTTATACGTGTGTGTGTATGTGTGTGCGTGTGTGTGTGTGTGCAGTACAGTGTTAAGATTGAAATGTTAAATCATTAAGAATATGAAACTGCTCATACATGTTCCCTTCATATCTAAAAATCAGACATTTTCTTTCATTACATTTTTAAAAGATTTGTTTTAAAGTTTAGTTTCTGAAGATGTGAACTGTATCTTTCAGCAATGTTCTTATTTAGCATTTAAAATCACTGTTAATTAAAATTTTTTTCCAAAAAATTATCTTATTTCTATAAATAAAAATGTCAATTTAAGATTCTTGAAGAATGTATGTAGCAATCTCAGTCAAAACAAAAATCTCTTTCTTAATAAACATTCCACCAAGATATTTCAATGTGCATACAAAAATAACCAAATTAAATTTCAGTAATGATCGGCTACAGAAACCATCTTTGTTGTAAGGAAGTACATTACAGTGACCAGTGTGCATAATTTTTCCCTAATTTACAGAAGTGTAAATTTATGCTTACATAACTTCTCTGGGTAGGAGATGTTGAGAGTTTTAT